GACACACAGCCAGATGCTCCTTTCACCCTCTCCCCCCCACCCCCTCCCAGCTCTTTGCCTCCTACCCGCTGGTAACGTCCCTTTTTTACTTTCTCAAAACTAGGCAATTCAAAAGGAGAAAATGCAGCAAACTGGCTCACGGCAAAAAGTGGCAGAAAGAAACGGTGCCCCTATACCAAGCATCAAACTCTCGAGCTGGAAAAGGAGTTTCTATTCAATATGTACCTGACTCGTGAGCGTCGCCTAGAGATCAGCCGCACAGTCCACCTCACAGACAGACAAGTTAAAATCTGGTTTCAGAACCGCAGAATGAAACTGAAGAAAATGAACAGAGAGAATAGGATTCGGGAGCTCACAGCCAACTTTAATTTCTCTTGATGAACCTATAAGCACATCTTTACGGTTTAAAGAGCCAGTATCATTTTCCTAGGCTGTAGTCATCCGCACCTGTATGGATTAACGATTTTAGACGTTCTCAATATGTCCTTAACCTCTTAAGAGCTACTTTGGGGTGGGGTGGGGAGGCGGACTAAAGCCACGCTAATGCACAAAATGCCGTGCGTGAACCTCCCCGCTTCCTTCAGCCTTCCCCGGGGCCGATTTGTTCCTTTAAGCTTTGAAACACAGAAATACCGTTTCAGGAGCTGCAAATATCTTTTCCCCAGTATCTCTCTCCGAAAAGTAAACAAGCTCGGTTAAAGGCGCGTTCTTTTAAATTATAAGCGGTGTAACTTGGACTGTACGTAGCTGCAGAATGAAGATATTTAAGCCTTTCCATATTTCTATATATTGGGAGCCTTCCCCCCCTCTGTTTTCCTTTTCTCCCCCCTCCCCCCTTTTTCCTTCGAAAAGCAGGACTTACAATAATGAAATGCAGGCATCCTTTAAAAGGGCTTCATGGGAACGGGTGTTAAGAGAGATTCTTTTTTTCTTTTTTCTTTTTTTTTTTTTTTTTTTTGCTTTACCTTAAGTCAGTACTACAGCTTTAAAATTGGCCGGGAAAATGAAATCTCTTCTCTTTAAAGGTATAAAAGAGTTCGTGTTGCTCATGGACTAAATTATGACACTTACCTCTGAATTTCTCTCGCTCTTTCTGGTTGTAGATATTTACTTAACGTAGTTTTGCTTAAATATGTGGAATTAGTGATTTTTTTCTGTCTATAAATAACGTTACCATTGGTAACGCGTGACAAGCACACAGAAATTCCCCCTTGAGAAGAAACTATTCACTTTTTCCTCACTAATTTCACTGAAAAGTATATATCCTGAACATCAGAAGGACTTTCTGAGCCAGAGTCTGAGATTGCGAGGGAGAATATGTTCGTCTTCCTTTATACTGTGAAGTTACATGCATTAAAGGGTCAAACATATAGGTGAAAAAATTTAAAAAGAGAAAAAAAAAGAAAGAAGGGGAAAAACTATAAATACAGATATGTATAAATGTCTATTATTATTAAAATGCCGATACTGTTTTAAGCAAATTCATTCTATCGTTATTATAAATGTTAGTTCTAGCTATATTTAGTTCTTACCTTAAATCGGAATAAATTAATATTGTAATGCTGCTGTGCGTGAAAAAGACGATGTTTATGTTCTCATAGAAGAATAAAAAACCGTGGAATGAATCCTTTTAATTTTACCTCTTTTTGTGACTGTTTATCCTCAGGTTCTACTTTATGTCTTCGAGAACTTTTACAACAGGAATAGTTGCCTAAACCCCCTGCAATTACTTTAGGAATCTATTTAAATATTACCTAGACGGTCGTAATTTGTCTGGGCCATATAGCGATGGTGCTCTAAGGTTTGTCGGCTTTTGTTCAGTTTTATGACTTGCTAGTATATCTGGATTGTTGCTGTCTTGAACGAGTGGTTTCAGTTGACTGAGGAGCTGCATAGACTGAGGAAGCAAATTACTATTTCTTGAGGGTAGGGAAACGATTTATTATTATTATTTTTTTTAACCAAACACCTACAAGTGCGCGGAGATCTTTAACTCCAGAGGACGGTGACAAAATTCTAGCTTTATCTCAGGGCTGAGAAGAAATCGTAAAGGTGAGCGCATGGGGAGGTGTGTGTGTGTGGGGGGGGACATCAGCCTCCCCTCCCTGCCAGCGGGCCCCTCCAGACAAGGCTATTCCCTACCTGGCTGCATGTGGAAGAGCTTATTTCACCCAGGCTGCTCGGTTTTTTGCATCCTCCCTTCCTTGCTGCATGTTTAGCTAATAGAGTCTCGCACAAAGGGAAGGCAAAAGGAGGGCTGGGAGGAGAGCGACAGCTAATGCTTCCTTGCGGGGTATGTGTATGCCGGGAGGGGGG